CTGAAGTAAACCCATGTTGTCTCTGATCTTGAAATCCATGTGTTTTTAGATGTTCATCAATCCTATCCTTTAACATGGTTTCCATTACTTTCCCCACTACTGAAGTAAGGTTTACTGTCCTTCCTTGTGAATTGGCACAAAATGTTTTGTCCCCTTTTTTTTTTTTTACTGACTGTGCTATTTTCTCTTCTGTGTGTGGTTTGGAAGCTCTTATAACTTGCTTAGCCTCTTTTTGACTAATCGTATAGATTGTCTTATCTATAAAGGAGGAAAGATAGACATGTTGTAGTGATATGGAATATTGCTATTATTAAATTACCACCTAGAAAAAAAAAGTATTTGCTAAAAGTCCTAAAATAAGTCCAAAAGACTGTTGTTAACATTAAATACCTTTTGCTAATGTTAAAAGCGTGATTAACACAATTGAGGAGCTACACTTATTGACACAGAATGAACAAAATTAAATGAAGCACATGGCTGGGATGTTAATTTAAACATAAAATAGGAAATGTGGAGGGGACGTGTTAACATATGAAGCCTGAGTTAAAGATTAACATTAAAGTTTATGAAGAAAATGAGAAATCGTTTTGTGGTGAAATTTGCATGTGAGCTGTAAGAGAGAAAATGTAAATTGTGGGGATATGCTATAAACCCTGAATGTTAATAATGATGATCAGTTGTTATCACTAAGTGTAAAAGGAATTACATCTGGGTAATTCTTTAATCACTGGAGATTTTAATTACCCAGCCACTGATTAGGATACAGGAGCTAGATGATCAGCTAAGGGAAACGCGTTCTAGAATTTCCTGAATGACATTTTCATGTCTCCATTAGCAGAAGCAGGAGCTAAAGCAGATGCTAGCCTGGATCTGGTAATAACTCATACAGAGGATAAAATAATTAAGCTCTGGCTATAGCCGAGCTGGGTCTGAGTACCTTTCCAGTTCAGTTATATTAATCTCGATTTTACCAATCGGATTTAATTTGCCATATTTCAGTTTAGTGAATAATTGTGATAGTTCTGACCTATTTTCAAATATTCACGTTATGGAGTGCTTGAGTGAAATATCGATTGCAGTATTATATTTTAAAAACTCATTGACTGCCATAAACTTTAACTGAAAGAAAACAGAGGATAAATTCATTATCTTTAAAGAAATATGATAAATGATGCTTTCAAAATATTGCATTACAAAAACAAATACATAAAATGATTGTAAAAGGTTGGTTAAGGTTGGCAGAAGGTTGTGAAAGGTTGGTTAAGAAATTAAAAATACGAAAGCATTTTATTTAGAAAGGTCAGCAGCATGATAGGTATGATACAAAAACTGATGTTAAAACTGTGACGAAGTGCCCTTCGCCACTTGGTCCTGGAGAGGCCTACTTGCCAGCCTCCTCCCCTGTGACTATGACTCTTTCATGTATTTGGATTTAAAGCCCCTATTCTACCTTCAGACAGACTATTTATTTAGGTTGCTTTATTTCTCTTATGTTTTAGTCACCCTGTACCCATTATAGGTGCAGGGTGTGTGTAATGTAATTGTTTATAGTGTGTGTGTGTGTACTGTGTAATGTATTACCTGCTCTCTTGTATTGCTGAGGTTTGCTACCAACTAGGTGGGTTCGGCTATGGAGCTTGTCTAGTGCCCTCTGTGCCCTCAACAGCAATATGCACTACCTGAAGACTGGTTCATTTGCATATTCAGGTAGATTTGCATATTGCCAATTCTGCAGGCACATGAGATATTTTCTGTTAAATATTGTCTCCCCCACCCCTTTAAAAATGTGCCATTGTGTTGTGATAAGTCACTGTGTGTTGCCTGCTATTGTTTGACTGTTTGTGATTTTATTGAGTTTTCACAGCATTGTTAATGTAATGACCATATGGGCTAGTCCCAAGTAAAATAAAGGTTTAGACAGTTCTTCTTGATCCCTCTAAATGTAGCCTTGTCTCGTTATTGGAGGGAGCAGTTATAATCACACTGGGCTTTGCTATGCTCTGCATGTATCCCTGAGCTTGAATCACTTAGATCTTTTAAGAGCTTGTTCCTGACACGCTCTTCTTGGAGGAGGGGTCTTCCCCACACAGTCGTGGATGCTGGAGGTTCATACAGGGTGGAAGGAAGAGGCCTTTCCCATACGGTCCTGGAGGACAGAAGCTGATCCAGGGTGGAAGGAAGACGGTGAGACTCTGGTCAAGCTACAGCAGTTGCGGAGTCTGCGGTGGTTGTGGTCCTCGGCGCAAGCTAGGAAGCGTCCATCAACGGAGGGTACTCGTCGGAGTACGGGGAGCTCCGTTAAAAAAACAAATGGCAATTTTAACAGTTTTAGATGGCAGTGATATGCTGATAGTGTCAGTGAAATTGGCATTGGTAGCGAGGAAGTGTAAAAGAACCAGACATGAAGCTTGCAGTATATTAGTACCATAACAACTACATTAGTCTGTAGTAGCTACAGTGCTTAAACTGACTGAATACATTCAGAGACTGCTGAATACATAAATACACACATTGCTGAATACACACACAGACTGTTGAATACACATAGACAAACTGTTGTATACGCGTATAGACTGCTAAATACACACACAGACTGCTAAACGCACACAAACAGACTGCTGAACATGCACACTGCCGAATAGACACACACATACTTCTGAATACACACACAGATTCCTGAATACACATACAGATTGAGGAGTACACACAGACAGACTGCACTGAGGGGTGCAGTGTGTGTAGAGGTGCAGTGTGTGAGTCCTGTAGTGTGTGTGTAGAGGTGCAGTGTACATGTGAGGGGTGTGTGTAGAGGTGCAGTGTACATGTGAGGGGTGTAGTGTGTGTGTGTAGGGTTGCAGCTTGTGAAGGGTGCAGTGTGTGTGTAGGGATGCAGTGTGCGTGTGTGTGTAGAAGTGTGTGTGTGAGGGATGCAGTATTGGTAAAGGTGCAGTGTGTGTGTATATGTGCTTTGTGTGTAGATGTGCAGTGTGTGTGTGTGTAATGGTGCTGTGTGTATGTAGGGGTGCAGTGTGTGAGAGGTGCAGTATGTCAGGGTGCAGTGTGTGTGTGAGGGGTGCAGTGTGTGTTTGAGGGATGCAGTGTGTGTAGGGGTGCAGTGTGTGGGCAACATTTGTGTAGAAGGGCAGTGTGTGAAGGATGCAATGTGTGTAGGGGTGCAGTGTGTAGTGGTGCAGTGTGTGTAGGACTGCAGTATGTGCAAGGGGTGCAGTGTGTTCGGGGGGTGCATAGGGTCTATATTGTGAGGGGGAATATCAGGGAGAAAATAGAAAATGTGTATATGTATATATATATATATATATATATATTTTTTTTTTTTTAAATAAATAAAAAAAGCTTTATGTCCTCCCATTCCCTTCTTACCTTTTGCAAGGGAGGGGGCGACATTGGTCCAGTGGTGAGTGTAGAGCTTGTGTCAACTCCTTTGGCTGCAGGCTGACTCCCTTGTCCTCTTGCAAGCTCAGCTCTGTATCGGAACATTGCCTGCTCTCGGCAGGAACACACAGCCTCCAGGTTCCTACCTCCCACTCCCATAACAAAGCGTCATTGGGCCGGTGAGGGAGATCTTTGCTTTCCTACTGGCCCGAGAAGGCAGGCAGCGAGGCTGGCTCTGCATGGACTGGCAGGGGAGATGAAAGGATCTCCCTTGTTGGCCCATTGACATCACGGTGGGGCCTCTGTACTTGTGGGGTCATGCAAAAAGACAGCCCCAGAGCTAATCTAATCCAAATCTGAATGTTTTCCACATTTTGTCTCATAATCTAATCTACGAAAGAGTGGCTGTAATTGCATTTCACTAACACAATATTACATTTCTTGATGACCATTATTGAGTTTCAAATTTGTAATGCTCAACTTAATTAAATCATTCAATGTTCATATGTATATGAAAACACACAGACATGTCAGTGAATTCAATTTATAGTTTCTAATTAATCCTAAAAGGGGCATCTTAGCCAAGAAATTGAATATAATGAGCACAGGCTTTTCAAGATCATAATTTGTAAAATATATCTATAAATCATTATATATGTGCACAGGCAAATCATTTTACTGAAAAAGTCAACCTTTTGTAGACACAGAGATCACATTCAGGTCTACTGGCAAATCAGAGATTTTACCAACAAACTATGTGTGGTGTGTTTGTTTAATTTTTATTCAGGTATCTCTGTATCTCCTGTGGTTTTGATTCTTAAACGTATGATGGTTTTCAAAAGCAGAGATGTTTTAAATCAAAGTACAAAGCCAGTGTTGGCATGAAAGTTGATTAATACTGTGCCAGGGGCTTTAGTGAACTAGGAGGAGGTAATACTTTTTGAGAAAGATAACCGATAACTGTTATTATCCTGTTATTGTTCCTATGACCAGTGGTTATCAGGGGCATCTATGGGTTTAAAAATAAGCCCTGGGAGCAGAGGACTTGTTCTCTGTAGTGCAACTTCTGCCCTGTAAACATCAATGTAGTTAATGTTTGTGCCATGCACCCTAACTAAGGAAGGGATGATTTGGCAATGCAGAATAAGTACCTCACATAGATTTACAACATTTACCTTGCTAACACTGCCATCTGCCTTGAACTGGTGTTGGGGCTCACTGGATCCTCACAATCTGACAGTGAAATTGCTATAATGGGAAATAATGTGGACACACAAGCATTTGAACCATTAGTTAGCTCAAAAGTGATGTTCTTCAATTTGACACATTACTGCCGCCTTCCTGATCATGAGGCTATCTATATCATTCTGATTCTGAGTTGCCTTCTCTCATTCGTGTTCCCCCATTTCTCATCATGATCTGCTCATTCTAAACTATCGGCTTGTCTATCCCTTCTGTGTTGTCACCTTACGTAACCTGTAGGAAAGCAAGTTGTTAAGCTTAAATTTCCTTGACATCTACACTATGATAGATCAGTATGTATTCTTTGCCCATCAATAACATTTATTATCATGACACATATACAAACAAGTAGGCAATGATACAACTGAGGTTCCTTGAATCTTTATTGGGCCCAGGTTTCTTAAACAACCTTTAAGCCCTACAATGAAACCTAATGTATGAGACATACAATACATATATTTTATAGCGATACAATAGAATACACAGAGTATGAGAGAGGACATGTACTGTACACAGATAGCTTTTTAAAGCAAATTGAGCGCATGCCCATAAGAGCTTACATTCTAAGTCCTGTTACTCGAGGCACTGTATATGAAGATATGGCTTTCAAGCTAGGAGTCCTGTTACAGGGTACTAAATGGGCTTCACTAGTAAATGAGCGAGACGTGCATACAGCTGGCAAGAGGTACACACTTTGTTCATTTTAGTTTACTTCCTTGACAATTGTTAAAATATTGTATTTTCTTAATAATCAGTTTTAGAATTTATAATAAATATGCTAAAATTCTATTATATTTCTACATATACACATGGCAGATATCCATTATTTAAATTTGCGAAGGATGAGAAATAAAATAATTACACATTTATTTCAATCAAAAACTTCTGAACGTTATAAATACCTGTAAAATAGTTCATATAAATAGTAGATATTTCAGAAGCTTTGCCATTTCATGCTGCTGTTAAACAAGGTTATGCGCATTCACTAACCCATGGAAAGCGAGTCTAACAAATGCTAACTGATTCCAGTTATGAGCTTGTTGTTATTATTATTATTTTTCATTATTGTGCTATGAAACATAGTACTTTATATATCTCGACCTTGAAAGGCTTTCAGTACAGACAAGTCCAGCTGGACTGAGTTACCATGGAAATCATGGCCAATTATCCGAACACAATAAATAATACACATCATTTTTTTTCCATTATTTTTCTTCTTCTTGTTAATGCTGTCTTCCAGTGTTTAGAATGACACAATTCTATAACAAATTATTATTTATCACAAAGTCATTTTTGTTTCTCATGAGGAAATGTTTACCCATCCCTAGCATGTTCTTCTATGACTTTGTTATATTGGATACGTAGAACTAGGATGGCTGGCATAGCGCTGCTCGGTAATACATACAAGCCACCTACTGACAGAATTTCAGAGCACCATAATTAACACAACGAGGAGTTTATTTATTAAAACAAACATAAGAAATATAAACATTTCGGAACCGAGTCATACGTCTATAAGATGTAGAGGATAAAACAAAGCTATGGCCTCGATTTAAAAAGCTTTCCAATTGATTCAATACTGTTTGTAAAACGTTCCAAAGCATTTCTTGACACATCACCATTAACATCTATGGGAATCTTTGTAGATAAATCAATTGAAAATGTTTTCTGACAGTTCTGAATCATTGTACACTACAGACACCCAGACCACATCATCGCAATGAAGTGGTCTCGGTGCAAAGTGCCTTTTTACCTTACAGTTGAAAACATTTGCCGTTCTGCTGGAAGGGTCATGTTTTCTTTGCAGGGTTTACCTGCCTCTGTCAATATAAAGGCCACTAGAGGGACTTCCATAAAATAGCAGGGTCAAATTCTGCTATTTTTGTCAGATGGTCTGAAAGAGTGCAAGACCGAGCATGCACACTATACTCCCAGTGCTTTCCTCTTGGAAAGCATTGGATTGGCTGAAATTATCGATCTTGATGATCAAAGAGAGAAGAAAGATGAGTTAAGATGAGTTAACTACAATTTTCAACCCTTGGAGCAGTGACCCGGTCACATAAATGGTGGCTAGGTCTCTATAGTGTTAGGAATACATATTTGTAATGCTGTAGTGTTCCTTTAATAAATCGAGGCCTTGTTAGGCACTAAACATTGAACACTTCATTTCCTGACATAGAAGACTGGTGGATCAAGGCTAAGAATGGCCTTACAGAGGTAGGAAGGTGGGACCAGATTGTAGCTTCAAGAGTTTCAATAGCTAGATTTCAGCTCACAAGCACAGCCCTCTTTACTTTTTATTATTCTGTGTTTATTGTATTGTCTTTTCCCCCAATTGTACAGCACTACCGCATTTGTTGGTGCTTTATTAATGTCAGTAATAATAATACTAATAATGACGGATGGAATATTCTTCACTCAGGTGGAAGAGGTAGAGACTCGCTAAACAGTATCGCTTTCCAGGTTTTATATATCTATCGTTAAACTATTATCTCCTCCTAAATTCCTACTTTTACTGGGTCTTCCTTACTTACAGAAAGCTCCATTCTGCCAGAGTCGCTCTTCCACCATGACCTGGAGACTCTGTTCCATTGAAAGATCTCTAGACAGAACCGAAACTGGCCGACTCGTGTGGATAACTGCTGCTGTAGATAAGGCAGATTTTATGATGAGAATTTTACACCTTCCTTTTATATTCTGCTTAGTCCTTACGGAAGTTGAAATATTATTATAATTATTATTTTAATTAGCTGTTCATACTTTGGATGCAGTCTATTCTATCATTATTATTATTATTATTCTAATTACTATATCTTTGCCTGCCCCTAGAAGCCATTTTTAAATCTAGGCAAATTTGCAAATAAAACCAGACACAAACAACTGTAACCTTACTTCTTTTTTTCCTAAACACCTTAAATGTTTCTGGAATACCTTTGGAAGATAATATCCATATAGAGTTATATATATTCTTAACTGTAGAATGTCAGAGTGATCTTACTACAATCTAGAATGTGTTCCACTGCAAGTATTGTTGGAGTCAGTTGGGATGTGTGATCTATAAAAGCTAAATTGTATTTACTGTAGCGGTTATTCCTATCTCATACATACAATATGTGTATACCTGTGGATCTGCTATTCCTGGAATAGATTCCTTGTCTCCAAAAGTTAAAGTCTATGGTAGTTTGATGATAACTGATGGACGGTTGCAGAATGGTGTATTATAGCATGTTGTAAAACTCGTTTTTTAATTACCATTTTCTTTTTGACAAAAAGAACTGAGGAACTGCAGACTTACTAAATCGAAAGAATTGCATTTGTTTTAGATGTAATAAAAGGAGATTTCCACCAATTCCAAAATTGTGTTAGTAAAAAAGATATCACAATAAACTGCAACAAAATATTGTTTTACAATCTGTTTTTTTAATAAAGACCCCACATGGCGTGGATCTTATATATATATCGGTTCTGTCCTCACGTTATTCATTATTCTTTACTTCCAAACTCTGTGATTGTATTTATTATACAATGTAACAAGCCCTTAAAGCCTGTTGCTGTTTTCCGTGGAACCCATTCTGATCATTTTCTGTCACTTTATGTCACAGATTACGCTAAGGCTGCACACCACATGCTCATAATTCGGAAACGTAATTTAAACCATCTGTTTAGGAGCTTTCCTTTTGGTGTCACAGCCTATGATTAAGCACTGCTCATGTGAAAAGCACCCGAAGCTATTTTTTTCTTACACTTCCTCACTGTTTTTTTGTTGCTAATAAGAAATTTGACGGATTCTGAGAAAACAGCTTTGCAAATCCAGATCTGAAACCAGTCACACTGAACGCTCTGAACTCTGTTTACTTGGAGTCTGTTTTCAGGGATTAATCTTCCAGCTCAGAGATAGGTAACAAAACAAAATAAATGATGGGAAAATGCAAGTTAAATAAAACTCTTTATATTTATTAATTTCTGTATTTATTTATTTTACGGTGTGAGTTTGTAATGAAATGAGAATGTTTTGTTGAGTAGGACATACTTGGGATGAGATGCCTGCTTGGGGAACAATGTACATGGATTTTCTGGGTCAGTACCAACAAATTTGGGGTTATCTTCCTGCATTCACCTTAGTGGGGTGTCTGTCATGTGCCTGACGGCACTGGATGTCTGCTGTCCTATTCCATTCCTAGCAGCACATTATACCTGAATAGCACTGTCAGTTGGACGTTTAGCCCAGATCAGCTCATGCTTGTCATTTCATTTTGAGCCATACATACATCTGACACTTTGAACAGTCATATTGGGACCAAGTTTTGAAATGGAGCCATCGATATAAACAGTTCATTGATTTCCATGGCGATTGCTTTACTTTTAAAATTTCCTTAATTATAGAAAGCTCATCTGAACACTTTTTCTTTTATTCTGATTTGATCACCAAATTTATATGTCATTAAATATAAGTTAATGCCATTATTCTCCTAATATGTCCATGTCCTTTATGTGATTGATAGTAAAAATTATTTTACAAAATTTGACTTTTTTGTCGCTCTGCTTTTCCTTTGTCTCATATTTTACAGATGTGGTACGTATCTTTTGATCATTTAAAAAAAAAAATCTCTTTTAAGCAACCTTCTCACCTGATCAAAAATGGAGCTCATCTTTTCTCGGCACTAGGGAATCCTCATTGTGTTAATGATTCTCCATTTGCCATTTAAACCCATACAAAGTTCTTGCGTTCATTTGCTTTCTATCACGTTGTTGATGTATATTTTAAAAAAGGCAAACTTACAGACCGTGCTATCATCGGGTTAATGCACATCTTGAATGCACTACACTTTCAATCACACAAGAACACCTACTTTTTAACAGGCACTCGTAGAGTTAAATCATCTTTGTTAGTGTACAGATGACACGATCAATCTATTATACGTTAAATACACAGGAGTGGATACACTAAATATGAAATAGTCGTAAAGAGACAGGGGGAAAAAGCACTGTTAGGTTGCCATAGAAATAAGGGTGTCTTCCTGGCATTTATTTGGTTTTGTTGTTAAATTTGGGAGAAAACAACAGTGTTAACGTGACAGAAGTGTTTCTCTGCCAGAGGACAGACACACCAGCACTCTAACTTCATTTAACCCTTTAAATGCCATAATGATGAGCAATACAGACCTTACAATAAAAATGACTGATTTCTATAGGAATCAGATTTTACTCCCATTTCTGAGCTTTTGTAAGTGAATTGGATGATAACAAATATATTTTTTTCACCATTCTAGTACCATGGACGCCTGAAAGAAAAGTTTAATGATGGTTGATTTACCCAGCAATATTTTTACATTATATCCCCTACAGTATATCCGGTACTCGTGTGACACTATGTGTCCAGAGCTTTGCAATCATTTCTGAAAGCTAATAAACCTGCTTTTCTATACTCACCAGGAAAAAAAAGTTGGATGTGAAAGGGGTATATCAGTCTCTACAAACACACCCATATGTCCAGAACATCCCCTTATTTGTTGTCCAGCTTACATTGAAAGTGAACTCTTAAACAATCCCCAAAAAAGTGGGGGGGTCTGTTTTTTAAAGGTATTGGTTTAGTTTATGGCTAATGTTCCAGTTAATCTAAATTCCAGTTGCAGCATTCGACCTTCTGGGGTCTGTGTCTTGTTCATAGCGGTAATGATAACCCTCCATCTGGTCCCTGCAGGCCTCCCTGAAATTGTTCAGCCATTTTTTTATGCCCCGTCTATTCAGATACAGGACCATGAGAAAGATTAACCCTATCAAAGCTAGCACTATTCCAAAAAACACATATGATGCTGTCTCCAGGTTTTCATTGAGACACTTGAAGCTATCTAGCTCGAGATTGTTGACACGTGTCCCATTTAAGTTTTCGGGAGCAAAACAGAGGAGATTCTGAGCATCCAAAACCTGGGTTGTGTTCCGGAGCCATGAAATCATTTCACTTAACTTACAATCACATACTAAAGGATTTGGACTTAAATAAACCCATATGTTCAAGCGTTTAAACCATAAAACTGTCATTTTGTCAAACATTTTAATGGAATTATTTCCAATGTTTAGAAATTGTAGGTTCTCAATTTCCAAAAGTCCGCTTGGGAATGACTGTAGACCATTGCCAAATATCTCCAAGGTTCTTAAACTTTTCACGTTTTTCAGCCATCGCATATTTGTTAATTTTGTGTCTGCTCCCCAGAAGGCTTGGTTTAGTCTTAAAACTTTCAGATGAGTCAGTCCCACAAATGCGTTGTTAGATATATGGTGTAAGACATTGTAACTTAGGTCCAAGGTAATAAGGTTAGGCAACTCATGAAAAGCCAAAGATTCTATGGTCCGAATCTTGTTATTAGTTAAAACAAGAGTGGTTAGGTTGCTCAGTTGAGTTCCATTACTCCTGAAGGTTGCAGCTTGGAGTGTGGTGATATTACTGCCATTGACTGACAGGTTTTGTACCCAGTGAGGGATATCCTTTGGGATGCCCTGAAGGAAATGGCATTGCATAAAGCCAGTCTCTTGAATGCAAGAGCATTTTAATGGACATGAAACAGTCACATTTAGCAGGTTCAGCAGCCCGATGAGTTTAAAAATTAGAATGCAATTGGCTTTGGCAGAAAGCAAAAACACTGTTAGGTTGCCATAGAAATGGGGTTGTCTTCCTGACATTTTTTAGTTTAGTTGTTAAATTGGGGAGAAAACAACAGCGTGAAAGTGAGAGAAGTGTTTCTCTGCTAGAGGACAGTCGCACCAGCGAAGATTCCTGCTCTTTCATCCTCAGCTCATCTCTTTACCGTGCAGACTGGATTCAGTCAGCTAGTCTGGTCCTTCCTTAGAACTCTTCATTTGCTTTCGACGTCTCTGGCAGGTCAGAGGGATGGACTGGTGTCTAACACAAATGCCTCCCCCCTCTCTTTCAGGCTCCCATCCATTGCGTCCTATCAGCTGCTCTTTCTATTATTGAAAAAGAAAGGTTGGAGGAATTTGCCAGAATGTAATCCCAGCTGTAACAAACATATTTCTGCTTTCATTCATGCGCTGCGTCGTGTTAACCTCTTCAGTCCTGGAAAAGACAGAGCTAATGAAAACAAGATAAAGCAGTGTCTGAAAATAATTTAGGTGGAGGACAGAACTATTTTATACAGTAAGAATTCATTAATAATGTACCAACATTTCTGTACTCGTAATAAAGGTAAAACATCACATTCAGTCAACCTCTCAAAGTTTTCCTTATTTCTAATGTCTTATTCTCTTCAGTTTTCAATGCAAACTAACACTTCTTTTTCAGACTGTTTATTATTAGTTTTATTATTAATATTTCAAAACTTATCTAACACCACCTCTTGGAAAAAATATATATTAACCCTTTCATTGCTGGCTAGTCATAAAGACATCAGATAGCAATGTAAGTTTGCCAAATACCTCTCTGCTTTATATTGTTAAATAATAGATGGGTAGTGGGAAAGTAGTTTTCAAAAAATCACTATGAATTCACTAGTATTAACCTATTAAGTGCCATATGGAATATATATTAGATACAGGGCTAAGGCAAGGATTTTTGTCATTTTCTCATCTGTCCCAACTGTATATCTCTTTTTCTCCGGCCATTCCTCTTCTCTATAGTTTTCTCAGTCTCTTTTCCCACAATCTATATATTAATTGTTTTCCATATCCAGCCTCTTCCTCTACACTTCTCTTTGCCCCCCTTTTTATGGGAACCCTCACCCTTTAAAGCAGTAGTCTTGGGCTGGTGAGTTACAAAGTACTTCAAAACCTGGACATTAATACATTTGTTGCTGTCTTTCTCTATGCCTACAATGAGCAAGAAAATAATATTTTAAGCCATAAACTATCACATTCTATGATTTCTTTACTTCTCAGGTGCCTCGTTCCACCTTGATCTCTGTCCCTTTCTTTCCATGGCCCTCCAAAGCTGCCTCAAGTCTCCATTTTTCTCTGCATCTGTTCCATCCACCATTTTATTTTTCTAATCCTTTCACCCTAATTACATAGAAACATGGAAACATAGAATGTGACGGCAGATAAGAACCATTCGGCCCATCTAGTCTGCCCAATTTTCTAAATACTTTCATTAGTCCCTAGCCTTATCTTATAGTTAGGATAGCCTTATGCCTATCCCACGCATGCTTAAACTCCCTCACTTTGTTAAAGGATCACTATAGTGCCAGGAAAACATACTGTTTTCCTGGCACTATAGTGCCCTGAGGGTGCCCCCCACCTCAGGGTCCCTCCCCGCCTCGCTCTGGAAGGGGAAAGGTAAAACTTACCTTTTTCCAGCTGCCGGAGAGCTCTCCTCCTCCTTCTCCTTGCATACCGTTGAATGCGCACGCAAGAGCTGCGCGCGCATTCAGTTCCTTCATAGGAAAGCATTTACAATGCTTCCTATGGACGCTGGCGTGCTCTCACTGTGAAAATCACAGTGAGAAGCACGCAAGCGCCTCTAGTGGCTGTCAATGAGACAGCCACTAGAGGAAATAGGGGGAAGGCTTAACCCATTCATAAACACAGCAGTTTCTCTGAAACTGCTATAATTATGAAAAAATGTGTTAACCCTAGAAGGACCTGGCACCCAGACCACTTCATTAAGCTGAAGTTGTCTGGGTGCCTAGAGTGGTCCTTTAACCTCTACCACTTTAGCTGGAAGGCTATTCCATACATCCACTACTCTCTCAGTAAAGTAATACTTCCTGATATTATTTTTAAACCTTTGCCCCTCTAATTTAAGACTATGTCCTTCTTGTGGTAGTTTTTCTTCTTTTAAATATAGTCTTCTGCTTTATGTTGAACTTCCAGTGACCAGTATGAGAGAGTGTGAGAGTGATAACACCAATTTCAACACACCTGCTCTCAATTCACACCTGAGACCTTGTAACACTCAAAGACACTAAATCATTTGCCATTTGGCTTATCCCTCCTGGAACATCAACCCTGTTGCAAATGTTAGTATCATCAGCAAAAAGACATCCCCTAGCTTAATTAAAATGTAGACATACTTTTGAGCAGGGGTATTGTCCCACTAACAGTTAAGCATACCTGATAGGTATGGTGTGCGCTTTTAATAGCGCTTGCTACAATTAAAGTAATCAGAGCATCAGGTGAGTTAAAGGGGCTATAAATTTGTAAGAAAGGGTACAGTTAGAATGTGCCATCAGAGGTCTGAATGCCTAATTTAATTTTACCCCAGCCCCAGAAATATTCTTTATAACTGCCTTTCCTAAAAGAAAAATCTGACCAGGTCAACATAAAAGAAAGTGGAACATTTAGAAATGAATCCTCAGGCAACAAAATAGTTAATTACTAAGAGGGAGGCTTTAATGACTTATTGATTTTCTTGCTTTCTACAAATAGTAATAAACACTGATACTGGCTTCAGTCTGTGAGATCCGCTGTGTTTATTGAAAACTAGATGGTTTTTCTACTCTGTTCATAATATTGGTCAACTTTGACCAAAGTGCAAACTAGGATATTTAAATTAACACATTATTATTATTATTATTATTATTATTATTATTATTATTTATTATTTATTATTATTATTCAGAGCTGTATTAAGTTTGCTTGGGATTGTGGCTCCCTCCTAGAGTCCTGTGCTGTGTTTCTGGGGGCAGAGTGTATGCTGGTTGAGTATTGTGTGCTGGCTGAATTTTGTGTGTGTGTGTGTGTGTGTGTGTGTAGAGGAGTCTGAGTGTGTATGTGTGTGTGGGCTGGCTGAATTTTTGTGTGTGTGTGTGTAGAGCAGTCTAAGCAGGGCCGGATTAACATAGGGGCTGATGGAGCTGCAGCTCCAGGCCCAGGCCCATGGAATAGGCCCATTTTAAAAAAAATAAAAAAAAAAAAAAAATTTTTTTTTTTACACACTACTCTTAGGTTTGCCACCTGACTGGTATTTTAATGGCACAGATGGTATTTGAGGCTGCCTGGCCGTGCCGGTATTGCAGTAATACTGGCAATACAAATGCAGGTAATTTTCTCAGAATAAATGGAAATTACTCTGCAATACCAGCACCGGCCAGTAGGGGTCACTGTGTGTGGAGAGAGGCAGAGATAGGAAGTTACAGAATATCCCTGCCTCTCTCTACTACTCATTCATCCACGGGGGAGCAGCTACACAGCACAGAGAGTCCAGACAGCAGCTCTACAGCTCAGGTAAGTGATGGATGGGGGTAAAGGCAGCAGGGACACATGGGGACACTGGGACACAGACACTAGGGGACACATGATGACACATGCTCTAGGGGACACTGAGACAGTAGGAACACACTGAGACACTTGGGGACACTGGAAAACATGGGGACACAGACACTTGGGGACATATGGGGACACAGACACTAGGGGACACAGACACTAGGGGACACATGGGGACACAGACACTGGAAGACCTGGGGACACTGAGACACTTGGGGACACTGGAAAACATGGGGACACTGAGACACTAGGGGACACTGGGGGATGCTGAGACACATGGGGACGCTGTGAGACATAGGGACATTGGGAGACATTGGGACACGGAGACACCATGTCCCCAGCCAGTGTCCCTAGTGTCTCAGTATCCCCAAGTCTCCCAGTGTATGTGTCCCATGTCTTAGTGTGCCTTGTGTCCCAGTGTCCCCATGTCTATGTCCACAACTGTCCCCATGTCTCCCCAAGTGTCTGTCTCCCAGCCAGTGTCCCCTAGTCTCCCAGTATCCCCTAGTCTCCCAGTGTCTGTGTCCTAGTGTCTTAGTGTCTCCAAATGTTTCAGTTTCTCCATGTCTCCCAGTGTCTGTGTGCCTGGTGTCCCCATGTCTCCCAGTGTCCCTATATGTCCCAGTGTCCACATGTCTATGTCCACAACTGTCCCCATGTCTCCCAGTGTCCCCAAGTGTCTGTCCCCAGCCAGTCTCCCCTAGTCTCCCAGTGTCTGTGTTCCCATGTCTGTGTCCCTAGTGTCTTAGTGTCCCCAAATGTTTCAGTGTCCCAGTGTCTGTGTCCCTAGTGTCTCAGTGTCCCCATTTCTCCCAGTTTCCCTAAATGTCTCAGTGTCCCCATGTCTCCCAGTGTCCCCATGTCTCTCAGTGTCCCCAGTATCCTAATGACATGGGGACACACTGAGACATTGGGACACTGGGAGAAATGGGGACACAGACACTGGGAGACTAGGGGACTGGGCGACATGGGGACACTGACACTGTGATACATAGGGACACAGACAATGAGTGACTTGCGAGACTGGGAGACAGGGAGACACTGGGAGCAATCCATCTATACAGCAGAATCAAACTGTGAGTAGCTTGTTGGTGATTTTACAGAATTTTCTCTGATGTCACTCCTTGTGATTTACATCATGTGATGTCACGCATAACTAAATAATTATACAAATGATTAAGGCTGGTATTTTTTTCAAAGAACGGTGGCAACCTTAACTACTCTTCACATACTCTTGCTTAAAGGAGCACCATAGGGTCAGGAACACAATCATGTATTTCTGACCCTATTATGTTAAAACCACCACCCAGACCCCTTCTTGCCTCCCTAAATATTGTAAAATATTACTTGTATTCAATTCTGCAGCTGCTGGCTCAGAAGTGGTGGTCTGAGCAAATTACAATACTTCCCCATAGGATTGGCTGAGACTGTCAAGTAAGCAGATCAGGGGCAGAGCCAGCACAAGTCCAACATAGCCCTGGCCAATCAGCATCTCCTTATAAAGATAAATTGAATCAATGCATCTCTATGAGGAAAGTTCAGTGTCTGCATGCAAAGGGTGGAGACACTGAATGGCAGTGCTGCACACTAGGCAGTACTGCCCCAGGAAGCACCTCTAGCAGCCATCTAAGGAGCGGCCAGTGGAGTTATTTTCTCTGAAAAGACAGTGTTTACTGCAAAAAGCCTGAATGGAATGATTCT